TTGTTATCCATGTGGAAGGTTTTTGTGCCAATGAATTAATCAAACGATGAGCACACGAAAAAATCCTGAAAGTCGGAAATAAAACAAGGTGCACATCAGACTAATAATATGTTTCTTTAATGTGATGTGTTTTTCTTTTCAGTATATGTTATTTCTGAATTTAATATTATCTGTATTAGATGTTAGAGCCCTATAGTGTTCCCCCGAATAAAGTGTACGGTCATTGTGGTTGTATTTGGGGTGTCTTTCAGTCTAAATACAACTCTAATGATTGTGCATTGTATTCGGGGGAAGACTATAGTAACATGCTCACATTTCATTAGTGTCGAAGACAGATTAAACTGACTACCTAGTGTCGGTAAACACTCACAGGTCTTGAACTTCTGCTCTGACTCAAGACTTGACCTCTGAGGTCAAGTCTTGAGTCTAAGTCCCAAAAGGCAGGTTCGAAAGACCACTGCAGCAGGGGTCACGTCTGTTCGGCATAGTCGAAGGTCGCAGGCCCAGTTGGTCTCAGTCCCAAAGGTAACGTCGCAGGTGAGTCAGACCAGAAGTCCAAAAGGCAGGCCCGAAAGGTCACAGCATCAGGGGTCACGTCTGTTCAACTTCTGCTGTGGCCTTTCGGGCCTGCCTTTTGGACTTCAAGTCTGACTCGCCTGCGATGTTTACAAATTCAAAAATTATAATTTACTGAATTGGAATAAATAGAAATAGATAAATCAAATCAATAAACATATGTAATACATAAAATTAGAATTACATGAATATGATAAAATTAAAATGACATATTTGTCAAAATTTTGAAGGAATCATAGATTTTTAAAAATATTATTTTCTTGAATATTTTTTGTTTTAAATAGATATATTTTTTTATTGTGAATCAAATGTCTTGATTAAGTATTATTATTATTATTATTATTATTATTATTATTATTATTATTATTATTATTATTATTATTTTCTTTATTTTACCAAATGAAACTTGAGGCCGGGGACCTCACAATTCAATCTGGAAGCAACCTCGGAAGCATTGTATTATTTCCCAACTTCGCATGATTTGTTATTCCATTACTTCCTAGTAGCGAAAAAAAAAAATCACATTGTAAGATGGTTTTATTGTTTGTTTTTCTTTTCCAATCTTTTTTTAAGGGCCCAGTGCCCAAGGCTTTAGGATATATATATATATATATATATATATATATATATATATATATATATATATATATATATATATATATATATATATATATAGAAATGTAAAGATATATAACTATATATATATACATAGGCAGAGAGGGAGAAGATATATATATATATATATATGACATACCTTTCTTTGTTTCGTGGATGTTTTGTTGGCTTGTGATGGAGTGTGAACCGACAGTCTGTATAGTTTTCCATCTGGTGTGGGTGAGTGATAGTCTAGTTTGATTTTGGTTAAGGTAGATTATCATTTACAGTGTAATCAGTGAGGGGATTCTGCAGACTGTTGAGGGTTCAGCCTCCTAATGAGCCTGTGAAACTCCGACGAAACAGTTTATTACAACCCCTCGTTTGTTGTCCTCTTCTCTCTCTCTGCCTACCGTTTACCACACAGTTCTGTTTGTGACGATATATATATATATATATATATATATATATAGGTATATATCTATGTAAATATATATATATATATATATATATATATATAAATATAAATATATATATATATATATATGTAAATATATATATAATGTTACGTTAGTACATATCATCCATTAATTATGATATATATATGCATATATCATGAATCATATTATATCGTTTATAAACGTTAGGACAAACTCTGAGATCTTCTAAATCGCTAGCATAGGTTCGAATCCTAAGGGGCGTATTGAGAAAAATTGTTCTTTCATATCATTTTTTTGTAAAAACATATTACTTTGACCTCTCTATTGACTCAAGGAAGAATATATGTATACATATAAACGGAAAATAAATCTAAAATAGACAACAATGTAGATTTATTTCTATTCAAATTGAAAAAGAAGAGATTGTTTAGTTTATGTATTTTCAATTGAGTTTATGGTCATAAACTCAAGTCTGCTGAACAGACATGACCCCTGCTACTGTGGCCTTTCGGGCCTGCCTTTTGGACATCTGGTCTGACTCAAGACTTACTCTCAGTCCCAGAGGTCAAGTCTTGAGTCGGACCAGACGTCGAAAAGGCATGCCCGAAAGGCCACAGCAGCAGGGGTTTGAACAGACGGACCCCTGCTGCTGTGGCCTTTCGGGCCTGCCTTTAGGACTTCTGGTCCGACTCAAGTCTGCTGAACAGACGTAAACCTTGCTACTGTGGCCTTTCGGGCCTCCCTTTTGGACTTCGGGTCTGACTCAAGACTTACTCTCAGTCCGAGAGGTCAAGTCTTGAGTCAGACCAGAAGTCCAAAAAGTACGCCCGAAAGGCCACAGCGGCAGGGGTCACGTCTGTTCAGTTACCCCTGCTGCTGTGGCCTTTCGGGCCTGCCTTTTGGACTTCTGGTCCGACTTAAGAGTTAGTCCCAGTCCCAGGGGTCAAGTGCTGAGTCAGACTAGAAGTCGAAAAGGCAGGCTCGATAAGCCACAGCAACAGGGGTCACGTCCATTCAGCAGATAGTAAAAGGTCGCAGACCCAGTTGGTGTCAGTCCCAGAGTTAAAGGTCGCAGGCCCAGTTAGTGTCAGCCCCAGAGGTAAGGTCTCGAGTCAGACCGGAAGTCCAAAAGGCAGGCCCGAAAGGCCACAGCAGCAGGGGTCTGAACATACGTGACCCCTGCTGCTGTGGCCTTTCGGGCCTGCCTTTAGGACTTCTGATCTGACTCAAGTCTGCTGAACAGACGTGACCCCTGCTACTGTGGCCTTTCGGGCCTGCCTTTTAGACTTCGGGTCTGACTCAAGGCTTACTCTCAATCCCAGAGGTCAAGTCTTGAGTCAGACTAGAAGTCCAAAAGGTAGGCCCAAAAGGCCACAGCAGCAGTGGTCACGTCTGTTCAGTTACCCTTGCTGCTGTGGGCTTTCGGGCCTACCTTTTGGACTTCTGGTCCGACTCAAGAGTTAGTCCTAGTCCCAGGGGTCAAGTGCTGAGTCAGACCAGAAATCGAAAAGGCAGGCCGCCAGACACATTTGAGTTCGAGGCTGGCCGAGGCAGACCAGTCCAGCATTATAAAAGACTGGTCAGCCTCCCATTTCGGCAGATGCTCATTCGCATGAGAGTGTGGATTCCAAAGTGCGAGTGCGCTTGTACGAGCGAGAGAGACAGAGTTGTGCTCCGCCAGAGATCTGAGCGAGTTGCGCTCTGCCAGAGATTTGAGGGAGTTGCGCATGCGACCTGTCTCTTTTGCTGACGTAACACTGGCCACGCTATGTACATAAGGTGACTGGTTGCGATAAGGAGGAGGATCATGATCTGTGGCAGAGTAAGGAGCGGGTTACTTACCTGAGATTGACGTCGATACTGTTCCTTACTGATTGTCTTCGTTGTCTCCATGGGAGAATAGTGCCACGTGACACTTCTGTGTGATCCGGACTTGTCAGGCTTGTTGTCGGGTCCTAGATCTCTCTCTCTCTCTCTCTCTCCCCCCACGCCCCCCTCCCCCCCCATGGCCCATACGTTTGAATCTTGGGAGAGGAGGATGATCGATGATGCGGACTTGTCATCATCATCTTGCGACGAATGGTGGGTGGAAGAGCATGCACGTCCGTGCTGCAAGGAGAGTCGAAAGAGAAGGAGGAAGGTATCTCCTGAGACCAGGAGATTCATGGAGAAGGAGAAGAAAGACTTGGAGGATCTGATCCTCTACATCCGGCAGTTAGACGAAGAGGATGAATGCCGGAAGACGGAACAGCGAAAGGAGAGAGCCGCCGGCACATCAGTCGGCGCATCAACAGAAGACACCAAGGATGACGAGGCAAGAGAGAGGGAGAGAGAGACAGAAAGAGAGAGAGAGAACGAGAGAGAGAGAGAGAAAGGAAGACAAAGAGAATGAGAGAGAGAAAGAGTAACCCCACAGGTGGGGTGTTTTTGGCACGTGGCAGGCACGCAGACCAACACATGAGACCGTCCACGTCAGAATCCGGATCGCTCGCCGGAAAAGGTTCCTTGCCACGCGAGCGAGCGAGCGAACGAGAGAGAGAGAGAGAGAGAGAGAGAGAGAGAGAGAGAGAGAGAGAGAGAGAGAGAGAGAGAGAGAGA